GTGATGAGTAAAGTTTACCTTGCCTGGATGGGCAGCTCTCTGGGTGCTCAGCTCCTCATAGCTGCCCCCACCTTCTTCTTATTAATCATCTGCACTTTCTGACTTTATATATGCATATTTCTACTCAAGAAACAGATATTTTGCGCCCTAAATGCACTTTTATAACTTTTCTCCAATATAATTTCATATACAGCATTATCTTTTGTAAGCGTGTCCTCTTTTATTACATGATTTTTATTGTAAATATTTCCAACACTGGAAACAAGTTGTAGCATTCTCTGTGTTCTTTTTTGACCCAGACATAAACGTTATTTATTTATTTGACGAGGAATGAAAAGACACGTGGAAACAGCTCTGTTGATGCCTCGCATCAAATTTCTAGAGTGTTCTAGATTTCCACAGTAGTGGCGACACCATGTGGTCTGCAGCTGTCAAAACGTGTTCTGGACGGACATTGCGTAAGGAAACTATGGGGCCGAAAACGGAAGTGCTCGTCATACACGTATCCGGCAAGAGTGTATGGAGGAACTTCTGGAAGTCCCGTTATACGAACAGACAGTCGGTTCCTTTATCCACGATCAAGATGGATCACCGTCTCTCAAACCACGAGTTTCTATAAGACTGCATCTTATAGTGTATATAAAATGCAGTCTATGGGTTAGGAGGATCATGTGACATTTTCAGAGTCATCGTCCTGTCTTCAGCGGACACGCGTCAACAAAAATAAAAATAAATATTCATATTTGGAAGTTAATTTGTTGGGTTATTCTTTTGTTCGTGAAAATGAATCAAAAACTCGCTCACATATAAAATATTACACGAATACACTTCGGACTAAAACGTTTTCTGACTCGTACTCCCACAAAGCCGGATATACGCACAAGTGAGTCATCTTACTTCCGTTGGTAGCTCTTCGGACCTTTAATTTTCGTTCTACCCAGCTGCTAGTCTCTACTAACACCCGGCGTCGGTTGTGCTCGATTTATTTATTTTTTTTGTTATTTGGAGCTTTTTGTCCATCTGTAGGAGCTGAATACGCAAATTTTGATGGGGTTTCCCTTAGTTTGGTGCGTTATCAGCGCAGAGCGGAAGTTCGCCTTTCGAGCTTTTTGGTTAGCTGACGTTAACGTTGCCAAACGTTAGATTAGCTAACTTTGCTAACGCGTGCTATTGTGAAGAAAGTAGGATTAACTACTCTGTTTGCAAATGTCCCACAGTAGACTGTTACTGATACAGTCGTTTGTTACAGCTGTCTGGCTAAGTAAAGTTTGGAAACGCTTGAAAGCTAAACAGTCATTCAGCACTCCTGCTTGAGTCTTCAAACAGCCTGCCTACATCGCCGGCCAAAATGATGGATTTTGATAACATATTGAACATCGCCTCACAAAACCAGGGCCTCAGCAGTGTACAGGTGAGTAGAAGGCTCTCACTGGCAGACGTATTACTCAGGCCACTGAGAAAACTTAACATCTGTGGGTATGTGTGTGAAAAAACAGATCAGGGAGGGTCTGTTTATGTAGCCAACTTTCATTGTCGTCATACTGTATAGACGTGTACAAACACGCTACATTTTATTGTGACATTAGATTACTATTTTTGCTATACAACACAGAGACATGGGGAGGACTGTAAATGTTAAACAAGAGTGCACACTTTCCCCATAAACTACAACTTGTATTGTATGTGTTCTTCTCTTTGAGCAGAAGAGATACAGTTTACAAGCTGGACCCCCGAAAAAGGACCCAAAGTCAAAGGGTGTAAATCCTGCTGCTGTGCAGGCACTTCTGAAGAAGCAAGTTACTGAAAACAAAAAGAAAGGTATTAAGGATTTAATAACTGTTAAGTTTCTAATGCAGGATATTGGGATTTATTAGTTATGCACTGTTGTATACAGATTGTTCTTCATTCATTGTGTGTGTGTGTGTGTTTTTCCTAGAATTGGAAATGAAGAAACAGAAAGAGGGGCTATTAGCCAAGAGGGTTGAGTTAAAGTCAGACCGTAAAGCGCGTGCCATGGCCTCCCGAACTAAGGATAACTTCAAAGGCTACAATGGTGTCCCAGTGGTAGAGGTTCCCAAAAAGAGGAGATCAAAACATGATATGCAGGAAGATGACTTGAATGGGGGAAGTTTTAGGAATGATACAATTGACCCAGAGGATGATGAGGACAACTACGAGTATGAACAGACAGATTCAGAGCCAGAGTCCGAGCCCGAGCCACTGAGGCCTGGGAGAATAGCGGGTAATAGTAGCAGTAATAGTAGTAGTGGCAAAACCTCTTCTAAAAAAAACAATGGGCCGCCCAAGCCCCCTGCACCTTCCATGAACTTTGCTGACTTGCTCAAATTGGCAGAAAAGAAACAGTTTGAACCAGTTGATCTAAAACCCAAGGTAGTGAAAAAGGAGGAAAGGCTGCGCACAGCAGATGAGATAAAAGAACTGGAGATGGAGCGCAAGGCTAAGAAACAAGACAAAGACAAAAACTCAAAGGCAGACAGAGGAAGAGATGGGAAGTCTCAGTCTGGTTATAGTTCAAGTCAAAAAAACACTTTTGAGAGGGAACAGAAGAACAGCAGACCACAAAAGATCTGCTTAGAAAAACAAAGTGTGCCCAGTGGGTCAATGAAGAAGTCACAACCAACAGTAATTAACGACACAGGCCTCTCTTTTTCCAAACTCTCTGGTAGTGATAGAGAAAGAGAAAGAACCAAGATGTCTTGCAGTGATAAAGAAAAATCCAAGACAAGCTTGTCTAATTCATCAGGTGTCATAAACAGTAAAGTACCTTCAAAAGCCATGTCATCTCAGGTTTTAGCCAAACAAGGGGCCCCAAAGCCCTCGTCTAGCCACAAATCCAGCACCTTAAGTGACCTTAGCTTCAGAAGAGAAAGCTCGTCATTACTTCAAGGAAAAGTTTCAGGTATTCCTGGGAACAGGCCTTCTGGTACAGCTGGCACAGGCCAGAAGTCCAAACAGGTGAGTTCTCAACAGATTAAGCCTAGCCAGGGTAGCTCCTCAAAGCAGGGACCCACAAATGGAGGCCCCAAGTTCGGAAGGGGAGAACCACCACGGTCTGGAATGAATTCTGCAGCAAAATCAGGTGGAAATTCAGTGATGAGACCTTCTTTGAGTGGCCCTCCTAAGGCTGGGAGCCAGCCTCAGTCAAAAACTGGAGGAACATCTGGTAGTGTGCCAAAGGCCAGGCCTGGTGGTAGTGGCCTTCAAGGTCATCCTGGAAGTATTGTATCCCGACCTCAAGGAAGTGGACCCGGTCGGCCTGGCAGTGGAGGACTTGTACCAGGAAGACCAACTAGCAGTAGTGGATTAGGACCTGGAAGACCAAAGTGCACTGTAGTGTCAGAGACCATCTCATCCAAGAATGTTGGTGGACACAGGCCAGGCATGCCACCTCGGCCGGGGATGCCACCTCGGCCGGGGATGCCAGCTCGGCCGGGGATGCCACAGAGACCTATGATGAACAGACCACCAGGTAACAATCAGAGTGAAAATAATGATATGAAATTAAGTTAAGTGAATCATGGGTTCAGTTACGGACACTGTTTAGTGTTTTAGTCACGAGGATATTTAGTAGTGTTACAAATAGCCTGACATAATCCAGAAACAATAAGCACCATACAAAGAACTTCTCTCTACATTTTAAATAACATTCAACATTTGAACTCTCTTATTGCAATGGTTACATGTAACAAAACAAGCAAAACGTATTTGTAGGTCAAATGTATAGGTCATATAAATGGTGAGTATTTCATATTATAGTGTAATATATATAAATAAAATATATGGAGAGAGAGAGAGAGAAAAACAACTTCCCGTAACCCACAAGCAACACATTACAAAGGAAATTGTATTATACATTGTGCACACAGTAATAAACCCATCAGCGTAATATTGTGTTGACTGCTGCAAAACAGCTCTTACCCACTGGAGCATGAACATGGGACATCTGGGGGGGTGTTACATTGTGTCTGTGTCAGGACACAGACTGTGGATTGTTTGGACCGTGTGGATTGCAGGGTGGGGTCTGTGTGGAAAAGCGTCAATTCCAGCAATCCTAAGCGGCATAGGCTAGAATTATTATATTATATTTAAAATTGCTAACATTTGCTAACAGCCTGGAAAAAACCCCACAACAGTCTGCTACAGGGCAAAGGGTTTGTTTGCCCAACTGAATGAAGTGTCAGCAACACTCACAGCCTTTGTCCTCGTTATTGTGTCACAGAGCTGCGACCTACCTCAGACAAAACATAATTTCAGTGTCTTCTCCCTACTATGTTTATATTGACAAGGGAAAAATTTGATATACTGCATTTTGAAAGTAATTTCTATATTCATTATCCAGGACCAATGCTGCCACCTATCACATCTGCATACAAGAGGAAATATGAGGATGAGGAAGATGAGTATGACTCAGAAATGGATGATTTTATTGATGATGGAGGTGAGGTGCAGGAGGAAATTTCTAAGCACATAAAGGAAATCTTTGGCTATGATCGAAACAGGTAAGGCTTGTCACTACATGGTCTGATGTAAGGAAAAATCCATTTAATTGAACTGAAAATCAAATTCTATATTTGTTTTCAACCTCTGCAGATACAGAGATGAGAGTGACTATGCACTAAAATTCATGGAGAGCAGCTGGAAAGATTTGCAGAAAGAAGAAGCTAGGAGGTAATAAGAATTTGTTTTGGGGGGGGACCTCAGTTTCTTTTTCTGTCTGTGTGCCATTTGTCCATAGTGGTCTACTCCTTTAAAAAGAATACAAAATAATGTTTTGTTCTGTATTTCTGTGATTTGCCACTTTAGCCTGAGAATGGCTGTGCAGGAGGATCTGGAGGAGGAAAGAAGGGAGGAAGAAGAGCTGAAAAGAAAAAACGTCAAGAGGAAAAAAATGAACTGAGGCCTCATTGTCGTTGAGAGGAATAAAATAAGATCATTTTCTTCATTTTGCTGAGAGATGCGACAAAGGGATACACAAAACCTAGTGACTGTCCACTTTCGGTGCTTTGTCATTGCTTCTCTCCCTGAGATTAGATAAAACCTAGCAGCATCTCAAGAAAACTGGAGAGGAAGAATTTTAGTAAAAGAAGGCTTAAAAAAGACAATATGCACAAATTATTCAGGCACTAGGATTAAAGTTCTCACATTCTCCTTTCTTATTTATTTTACCTGCTGAGTGCAGGGATACCTACAGTCCCATCTGTTTAAAAAAACAAAAAAGATTGGCATCGACAACTACAGTAATGGAAAAGTGTGATTGATTTCTTTCTTCTTTCTTTCTTCTTTCTTTTTCCTCTTTTTTTTAAAAAAAACAAACAAACAAACAAAACAAAACGCTAACATGAAATGTTATATAAATGATGACATGCTATTTTTGAGGCGAAGTTGTTGCATATTTTTCCAGACTAACTTTTATTGTAAACTCAGTAAAATGTAGACGACATTACCATTTCATACTTTGTGTTTTATCTTTGCAAGGATCTGACTGACAATAATGCATTAAGGCTTTTGTTTAGTTTTATGTCTGCATTTTCAGAGTATGACAATCTAAAAGAGCTTTTTTTTGGACTGCAAATGCAATGCAGCAGGTAGTCAATGTTTTGCTTTGTATTTCTGTGGAAGAGAGAGCAAAAACAATTTCCTTCCCTAAATTGTGTCGAGTATTTTTGTTTATTTTATTTAAAGAAACTGGCATGGTCAGTATGTAAGGTTGTGCTCATACAGTGTGGTAATGGCGTTACATATCTTTTTGTACCTGCCACCTTGCCGTAGTTGATGTCACAAGTGGGCGGGATCCGTCTCCCTGTGTCGCCTGACTACTCCTTAAAGTTTGCGGAAGTTTGTTTTTTAGAATTCAAGTGGAAGCAAAGTCTCAGTCTGGTGGAAATCAAAGTAAACGTGGATTATTTTTTATTTTCTTTCGGGGAGTTGTGCTTTAATAGATGGACCTCACGCCAGAGCAAATCCAGCGGATTCTTTCGAAGGTTAGTGATTTAATACGAGCTGCTTCGAAAGATCCTCGTAAGCTAAAACTCAAAACATAATTGCCGGGTAGTGTAGCAGGCTAATATAGGTTAGCTGCTGTCTCCCTTCACTAACTAGCCGAACCAGCTCTGTTACTGAAGTCTGAGAGAAACCTGGATGGCAATGAGACAGGAAAAAAGAACAGAATGGTAACTTATTTAAAATAGTAATGAGACCGGAAGGGCAATTAAAAAGTGCTAAACTGAGCTGCTTTCTACTCGTGTCTAACTTTGCGTAGACTGCAGTATTATTGTGCTTCACTTATTGTTGTTTGTGCCGATGAGCATTTCCATTGTAGGTGTGGAATACAGCAATACGCAATGACCTGTTGGACCCTTCAAGAAAATGTCAATATAAAAGTAATTGTTGGGTGTTTTGTTGTCAGAATAAATGTACGATGACAAATGTTCTTACAGCCACAAATAAATAAATTAATGTAAATAAAAGATTACTGTAATGACCCAAATCTGTAGAGAACGGATGTGGTACAATATACCTCCCTCGTGTGTGTAATATATAACCCAAATATGAAACAGTGAAGTCTTCCTCCTCTGCCCCCCTGATATTAGTACAAATTTCGTGATGTTGCTGTTGAGGAGTTGGAGAAAATCTATCGAATCTATCCTGGGATGAAGCCATCCACAGGCACATACAGTAAGTTCTTACATTAAACCCATTTACTGCTGACCTTCTCACACAAGAACATTAAACTTATACTATCTTTACTGATATTTCAGCATTTAGTGACAGCACCCAAAAAGACCTTCTGAAATTAACTGGCACCCTCCCGGTCCAATATGAAGGTATGGCTGACCCAAACTCTTCTCACTTGCCTCCCAATTTTGACAGAAAGAGTTGTATAATTTAATAGCATCACTAATTTGAGCATGAGGTCTTAATTTTGTACTGATTGAGGTGTCTCTGTCCAAAGGTCGCTCCTACAACTTCCCCATTCAGCTGTGGCTGTTGGACTCCTTCCCATTCACTCCTCCCATATGTCACATGAAACCCACTTCTAACATGGTCATCAGAGAGGGCAAGCACGTTGATGCCAATGGACGCATCCACCTACCTGGCCTTCACAACTGGGATCATGTAAGATCTTGTACTGTCTGGTTGAAATTTAAAATTAAAAGCGGACAAGGTGCTGAAATGTTGCTGTTTCGTTTCCTCTGTAACAGCCAAAGTCATCTGTGGTGGGTCTTCTGAATGAGATGGTTACCAAATTTCAGGAAGACCCTCCATTGTCCTCAAAGACCACAACAGACAACAAAGATCCCCATGAGCTCCTGGCGTTTGTCTCCAATTTCCGTATCAGTGATGGTGCAACTCCTAATATATAGTTTTATTATAATTGATGATCACTAATGAGACAAGTAGTTCATAGTGATGGCTTTACTAAATTTCAGGTGGAATCAGCCATCACGGTCAACCAATCAACAAAGTCTCAGTTATTGGGGGAGGAGA